TTTACGGTTTGCATTGACCATGCTTCCGTAAGGTTTGGGGGAAGGTTACTCACAGCCTGATTCAGTAAGTTAACACTTTTCAGGTCATCGTTAAAAGATAGAGACTTGAATACGGCAACAAGTCCAGAAACTGTACAGGAAAAACCAATTACATTTTCCGAATTATTCATTTTCAGCGGCGGAAAATTACTGAATTTATCTAGAGTAGCCCCTACTACAGCATGAGGCTGCCCGAACTTTCTTTAAAGAGTTGCTAATGCGTCTTTATATAGTACTCAGCTATAATTATACTCAGCGATTGCGGATTTTGCTTTACCCACTACGAGCGTTTTCAGATAGGCAAGCTTTTCATCGTCAATGAGTATGGCTGAATCGACCGTCGATATGAACTGCCCAAACCACTCATGCCAATTAAGTGGGTTACCATCGAACTGGGTCAGCTTCCACTCAGGGAGATGATCTTTTCGGCTGTGCATGAGTATTTTAACTAGCTCTCGTATCGAAAGTGAACGCTCGACGTCTGCACCAGGTGAATTACCGGGAGTTGGCGCTGTAAAACTCGAAGAATTACCGTGATAATCAGGAACTCACGGTTGATTAGCATGTGAAACATTTTCAGGCTGCGCAAAGAACACAGTCCCACCACTTGTATAAGGATTAAAATTATTCGGAGTTACTGCGGAAAAAACAGTTGTCGAAGGAACGTAGTGTTTTTGAGCTGACATTAAAGGGACAGCAACAGCTGGTCTCCACAAATTACTATAAGGATTATAGTGGTCACTTGAAAAGTTATAACTACTAACGGGAACATCCATATGTTGTTGTGATGGATTTACAGGTGCTTGGTAGCCAGCTACTACTGATCCTGTAGTTTGAGGACTTAAAAAATCTGATTAGTGGTTTTTGATTCAGGAAGGATCGGTGCTACACCAGAAGGAACGTCTGCAGATGTTGTCGGAGCAAAATAGTTCTCAGAAGTTACCGGGACTACTGACCCTGTGTTTGGATTACCTAGCACTGGATGAGTGGACAAAAAAGTTTGCTGAGGCAAATTATTAAAAACAGGTTGAAGGACCTGCTGTAACCCTACTGGATTGTTAACGGAAATCTGCGACTGGACCAAATTCGACAAATTATGTCGTTGTCCGTGAATGTGGTTACTGAAATACAATCCCGGATCACTAGAAGCTGCCTGGCCATTATTCACTCCCGTAAAACTTGATGAGACCTTGTTATTTATTGATGTAGGATAAGTTTCCTCAGGACCTCTCGAACGAACGTGCTGCTTTTGATTGGGAACTACAACAGCGTCAGGCTGATTGTGGTCGACAGATTCGACCCAGTGACGCGTACGATCCTTTTCGTCTATTGTTAGTTGTGGAGTGATTCGAGTTAAACCACTTTCCTCAGCATTCTCGCTGATTTCCGACAACTCATCTTCTAACTCAAGCCCTTTCAACTCAATTTCTGCAAGTTTTTTCCTGTGTTCTTCAGCCAATTTTTCCAACTCTAAACTGCTTTGTTATTCTAAAAAATATTGTTTCATCTTGTTTTGCTGTTCTTTCAGTCTTAATGACACCTTTGCCTGCCTCTCAAGTTTCTCTTGTTGTTTCTTTAAAATTATTAAATCGCGCTTTTTCACAGAAAGTGTTTTCGACGGAGCGGCGGTATAACGACTAGAATTCTGAGAAACCGATTGCTGATGTCGGCTGCTTCGGTGTGACAACTTAGAGCGGGTATCTGTTTTATGCGACTGGGATTTTTCACTTTTTTCAGAATGATGAGAAACTTTTGAGCTGCTATCTATTTCGTCCGGCTCTGTTACTGCCTCAAAACTTGTTTGATATGTGATAGCTTCCTGTAAAACTTTATCGTTGCTTTGAGTCAACTTATGAAGCCACATATCCTGTACCGGTATCAATTCGTCGGGGTTGGCCCTTTTTGCAGCCATATCAATCAACTCATTATTTATCTCGACCACTTGTTCTATATAGTTCCTACATTTTTCAATATAGGTATCAATTTTTGAGCAACGACTCTGATTCTCTATGTAATCTAAAAGATATTTCGTGGCATTTATAAAGTTCGTTTTCGAGATTGCTACATTTCTGAAACAACTTCCTAATTTTCTTCTGAAACTTAATTTCTATGCTTAATAAAAAAAGAAATAAATGACTCTCAGAAAATACTTTATTTTCACTCAAGTAAACCCAAAAAATACTCTAATACATCAATAACTTACAAGCGGGACTAACTTGAAGTTTTAACGCTTTAAATGTATTGTGAATCGCCCTACGATATTTAGGCGACAAACGGTTCCGCTTCTTCTTAGCTTTCATTGTACTTAGGTCAGCACTGTATCGTCTAAGTTAAAACAGAGTCTTCAACTCAAGGGAAGGGGGCTGGTGCAGCTTTTTATACTTTTCAATAAGTATTTGGTCTTTGGCCTTTCGATTTGAGATAAAATCCTCAACTATGTTAAGAACGAGAATACCTGTCTTTTTCAACTCTTTTTCTATATTGTCCGAAGCGTTGCGGCGACAGTATACAATAGCGGTAATATTCTCCTTGTATTTCAAAAGAAGGCTCTTAAGTTGGTCAGTACTCAAACTACGGTTGTTGTTACTGCGGTGCTTACTAATGGAGGTATTTATCGCGTCGTGACAAATAACTAGATCTTTCCGATTCGACAAAAAATGGTGCAGATAGTATTGGATAGTTTTCTGCGAGTCCCTGGCGTTAAAGTTAAAGCTTAAACCGGGCTTTGTGAAACAAGTCTCTTTCACGCGCTTTTGAGACGGTGCGGATAGTTTACGGAGCGCGTGGTCTAGAGAACTGGCCCCTAGTATGAACACCATACGCTAAGAGCGCTTATTCGCGGCGGTAGTTACCAATGGGGTAAGGAACTAAGTAGGTCGGTTGAACTCCAACAACACCCACGGAGTAAACCTGAGAATTCAACTTAACTCACTTAATATCACCCTACCTGACCACTTAACATTAGTTTCACGCAATGAAGTCAATAATCGGACGGGCTGAAACGGCTTAGATTTACTTGAAGCGAACTCGCTTTCAGTTTCACCAATGGTGGGTGGGGGATCAGGCAAATTGGTTAAGTTCCAACAACACACGCGGAAAAACCTGAGGATGAAAAAACTCAACTTAATTTGCCTGATATTTCGCTACAAGACCACTTACCATAAGGTTGGTGTCATGTTACAGCACAGTTTCGCAGAATTCTGGGGAAGTTTTGAGGATTTTTGGCAATTTGTTACTTTTTTGCCAAATTTTTTTGGAAAATTTTGGTCAACAGGTTCGAGTCGTAAATCAACCCAAAAACTAGTCCAGTACCTCTTGTCTATGGTCCGACTTCACGGATTAATATTCCATTCACAATTACCCAAAAGTTTGTGGTATCGGGAAAATTACCTTTTGTAGCTTGCTTTAAGTTTGGATACACGATAAGACACCGTATGTAATTTTATTGCACAGAAAGATTTGAAAAAAAAACTAAATGAGTCTTACAGTTTTGATGATTTTGGAGATTTTCGGCACCGGAAATTTCTCTCACGAGGGAACAACTGCACTCACGATACCTGTGTAAAGGTCTCCGATTTAGCCACACCAAAAAATCCAGTCTATAGCCATTCGCGAGCCAGCAGTTGAGAAAACTGGGAACGTACAGGTTGATGAGTCTTTTGTCCACCACCGATATCATGAAGTGGACTGAACAAACACTCTCGAAAACTATCTTGGCCGACAGAATCTGCTCCCAGATGTTGCCTTTAGTTTAAAACGTAGAAAAGACTTTATGTGTGTTGAAGTTCGTTATCTCAGGAACTCTAATGCGGGTTCTTTGTGTCGACTTCGTGAGAAAAGACTTCGGTGTCCCTCTTTAATAGAGCAGCTGTCCCTTGTGGGCGCCAAAATGTGCGCGTCAATCTCCACGAATTGTAAAAATATATCAGATTTCAAACAATTGAATTAACAAGCATTTTATCGGTAAAATAGCTCGAGAAAGTTTTTAATATAACGAATTTTTTCATACTTCATTATTGGTAACATCGGCCATAAACATCTGCATAACTCAAAGCAAGCTGCAAAAATGGCCAGTATTTGTCCTTGAGACAAATTGCTCTTTTTAAAGATCAGCCTTAATCAAGGCTGAACCAAATTAGAGCGAAAAGACGGTTAAAATAAGTTTTGGGGGTTCGAACCTGGTTGCTAAGCGTCCCATCAAATTCTGGGCATAATTGAGTTCTAGAAAGGAAATGACCTAGGCGGGTTTCGAAACGGCGCCGAACCCGCCGAGACGCACCCTGTATACGCTCGGCTACTGTCCCTATATGCATTTGCATCTATATGCATTTATACTCTCGCTTACATTTGCGCTGCAACAGTTTTACTGAGGTAAAGGTATTTTTTAGATCTTTTTGCTGGGAAACCCGATAAATAAATTTTTATTTTGAAATTATAAGTCGATCAAGTTTTTTTGTGATTTTTACAATTTTACTATTCGATAGTTGAGTTTGCCTTCCTTTAAACAATACAAATGCAGTGAACTTAAAAAGAAATCACAAGCCAAACCACGAAAAATCAAAATTGAGCGTGAACAAATTTCAAGACTTTTTCCAGAAAAAAAAACAACAAAAAAAATCAGCAAGACTTATATAAGAGTACTCACTACGTTCATTACTCTCAACAAGACGCTGTGGTGGATCATCTTCAATACCGGAAGACAAAAACTGCCAACAAGAAAACCATATATGCTGGTTGAAACATAACTGATGTTACTTATTATTTACAACAACACTTTTTCAAACTAAACCTGCTGCGTGACGTCAATTTATAAATAATTTGTCATAAGGTCTCGAAACTGTCGTTTTGAAACTATTAGTAGCTAATTTTATACATATAGAGTATATTATGTCCATGGATATCGGTGAAACTGCCTTTCACCTCCACGATACCACAGACTTTGCCCGGATCAAAAACCCAATCTAGTTCCCTAGTTCCTTGGGCATACATAGTCCATAGACCACAGTTCCTTCCAAATTCCTGAGAGAATTCTGAACAAAACTCACGTATTCCACAGATCCAACTCGAGTGCAGTTGTAATTTCCATCGTTGCTGGGCTCTGAACAAATCTCGTCATCTGCCTCGTCATCATACTGAGTGTCATCCGCGAGGAAGAAGCAGTTGTCGGCAGCTGAGCTCTTTCGACTTTGTGAACCAATTTCAGAGATGTCTGAAATAAAAGACTGCTATTCGTATTTTCGGAGAAAACTTGCAGTTGATCAGTGAAAAAAAAACTCAGATCAATTCAACATCCGGCCAAATTGTCCAGCGCAGATAAATATGAAATGAGAAGCTTTTGACTACTGTACTGTCTTAGTTTACCGGAATTAACATTTAAAATAATCCAAAAAAAAACAATTTTCTTAAATTGGGTTGACAGTACACAAGAATTGATGGGAGCCAAAAGTTTCACAACTCTAACTTATATTTCAACACTAAAGCGGGGCCTATTTCATAAATAATAAATTAAGTCGTTTTTGTTTGTTTGAAAGGAGCAAAACATAACCCATTTTGGGTGAAGTTTTGGTTTCGTATTTAAAAGAATAATTCTGGACCCTATCCATTTTTGTCAACTCAATTTGTAAAAAAAACTCCATATGTTTTCGAGTTGTCAGGGTAAATTAACCGATACCTTATATTTATAGTTTAATACAAACTAGGTAAACTTATTTTCATAAGCTCGAACTGTCAAACTTTCAGTTCATAAAATTTCTCAGATAAATTTATTACTTCGCAAAAACCCAATTCGTACAAATTTAAATGGAAAACTTTGCATCGAAAGACAATTAGCAGCTCCGTTTTTTTTCGAGTTTTCGCTCATTAAAAACAACCGTTTATTATTGCGCGCTTCTTTTTGTTACGAATTGTAACTCTCAAAGAAAACTTTCTCGATAACTATTTTCTCGAAAACTCTATATAACAGTACCAATCTCTTTTTTGAAAAAAGGCTTAAAAAATTACTCTTTGAAACAACCCGCACTGGCAAAACTGACTGAGGTTAATTGCATTATTAAAAAATTGAAGATAAATCTAAGATCGACTGTAGTAGCAAAAAAATTATTAATAAAAAACGATGAATATTGATGTGTTTTAAATCAATTTATGTTGATTTGGCGCAGAAAAACCACATTGAATCATTTCTAAAAAAATCTGATTAGAGATTTTTGGTTATTGCACTTGTAATTTTGGACTATTCCAGCCAATTTAATTTCTTTAAATCAATTATTATACAGATTATACACAAGTTTTCTAACCCATTTGACTCTCGAATAAAATCATTAAAATGAAAAAAAAGTAATTAAAGCTTTTCAGTTGATATTCCTGCTGATATATAAACTAAACTTAGTAAACTGAACTAAGATAACTAAAATAGCTAATATGCTAATTTCATGCAGCAAAAAAAAACATAGTCAACGGATAGTTGGAAAAGAGTAATGAACTCAAGTAAACAGAAAAAAAGCTGACTTTGTTAAAAAAAATCTCAACTTTCGAATCTCAAAAAAAAGAAGCCCGTTAAACTCTTTGAATTTTTAGAACAATTTATGATTAGTGCTTTTTGATAACATTAACCGAACTTGAGAACTGGATCAATAGGTAAACTTTTGAATCCGCTGGAAGTCTCAAAATTTCATTCCAATTTTGACACTAGAAACTGTTCACGTTTTTTTAGCGCCTTTTTCACGCTATTTACGTCACCTTCAACAGATGAAATTCAATTGAACTCAAAAAATGCATCTATACCTAAGTGCAATCATATATACATTAATATAAATGAATGCACATCCGTAGTTATTAGAGCATTTCTGAAAAAAAAGACAAAAATCAACAAGACCTACATAACAGTCTTCACTGCGTTCATTACTCTTACTTGTTTCATATTTATCTGATCGTTTTTTGGTAATCTGCTTTGCAAAACTGCGCTGCTATCAGTTCCTTTAAAGTTGTTTTTGATCACCATGTGTTAAACCACCACAAGAACACAACAATTGTTAAAATTTAAAAGCTAAATTTAAGTGCTTGCGGTTAAAAAATTCTCCTCAAATGAAAATAGATCACTGTAAGACTGGCGAAAGTTTCAACAACTAAAACAATTTTCTCAAATTTTTGATTCAAAGCAATAAAAAACCTAACATTTTTTTATTCAGGTTGAGAAATTGACCTTTCGCAAAACCAAATCTTGACCAAAACAGATTTCAATGAGATTTGGTTGGATTTGACTAGCTAGCGAAAACCGTTAAATCAATTTAAATCATTTTCGAGAGACTAAAATTTAGCAGAGAAATTTTAGGATAGATGGATTTAAAATCCAAATCAATTCCTAAAGTGTACATGGTTTAACAACTTGGATCGGACCAAAATTGGTTTTGAGAGCCCAAAAGTGTGCTCGCTCGCTCGCTTCTGGAATCCACAGACTATTTTTACTTGGTTTAGTGGATTTCTACCTGAAAACGTGGATTTGTAGTGGATTTGTACCTGCAAAATGTAAGCTACACAAAATTTTGAAAAAAGTTGTTGTTATGGAATCTATCGTCTTGGTTTTGTACGTTGATTAACTAATCTTTTTTTAAATTCTGAAAACAATCAATTTTGGAGGCCACAGTCTGGACATACCAAGATGCGGTCGCATCGGTCTTATCAAAAAACCACAACCTCGGCCCGGTAAGTTTTGATTATTTTTATTAAAAAAATTATATTTTTAGTAATTGTTCATACTCTGAAGAATTCTCAGGGTAGGTTCTGTAAAAAACGTGCATTGGATTAATTCAGCTCGAATTGAAAATGAAAAGTATTAACCAGGTTCGCTTTCATTTTCGTGGACATTTGGAAGTCGATTCAACTTCTCGATTGTGATTGGCTGATTGAGTTGAGCTTCTGCAGCCTCACTAACCAATGACATTCGAGATATTCCGTCGCTACTCCCACTCGTTTCTTCGTCATCATCTGTGCAATCGTCTAAAAATTTGTACAAGTTTCGTTCAGCTTCAAGCGCATTTTAAACTGAAAAACCGTTTCTCCTGGGTCGAGTTTTGAGACTAATTTTCAAAATTTCAAAGCCGCGCAATGTTAATTCTGCGAGCGAAAAAACATGGTTTCGGCCGGTTCTTATTATCGCGGGCAGAGCTTCAGTTTGAGCTTGAGTTTGAAAAGGTTGAATTTTAGTCGCGATAAGTAAAAAATCGCGATAGTCTGCAAATTAGATGCAAAGACTATAGTTTATCAGAAGTTTTGATATATGCCATAATTAGTTTGGGGGTTTAAGAAGTTAGACAAAAAGCAAATTAGACGATCAAAAAATAACGAAACTTAGACAATAACTTGCGTGAAATTTGTTTACAGACTTAAATTATCTTTTGGCTGAGTAAATACTGGTTGTTCCTAAATTCCGTTTCTGTACGCGGTCGACTAACTTCTAGTCGTCTAATTTCCTAGACCACATAAGAATATGAGAACAAGTGTTATCGGTGCATGTGAACAATCTCCTCCCTTAATAGATAAAGTGAACATAATCTCCTCTTAAGGTTAAATGAAGAATTCAAGCACTAATGTGGAACCTGATCTAAACTACATTTTATGATTGGATAAATTAGATATTTTACCACTGTAAAGTATTTAATATTAACCAATCATGATCCATCTAACTAACAACCCACTTATTTGTAAGTGCTGAAATTACTTGTAATTTCAGCACCAGAGAGATTTGAATTTAACTTAGAAATTAGTTGCCTCTCCATGAGAACTTCAGCAGCCGCAATAAACCAGTATACCCTAGATCTATTGAGCCTAGCAGAGACTAGTTAAACAACCTGAGACTAGATAGTATAAGAGTAAGATTAGGATCGGTATTAGACTAAGAAGTTGCACGAATCTATCCGGCCGAAAATAAGATAGCGTGACGAGCAGACGGTGTACCCTATCCGAAATTACTCTATGAGTTAACCACTTCGGTCATAACTCATCTGGTGCGACCATAAGTCTCGAACAAGACCCTAATAGCTTAGAATTAACCAAAAATAGATTAGAATTTAGACAAAACATTTTCAAAATGTTATACGACGATAATTTAATCGAAATGTCTCTTCGACTCAATAGATCAGAGCCAATATTCCGAACGATAATAGAACTACCCGGAATTGGAAGAAGACCTCGAACCAGAGACGACATACGACAAAGTAGAAACTTACCATATAGTTAAATGATAGTACGGCAAAAGCCAACACAAACTTTTATATTTAGAATTTTATTAGCAATGAATTTAGATTTTCATTCACAAACATAAAATCTTGAAGTCAATCTTCATGATCATCTCAGGCGCTAAAGAAAATTATTAATATACAATAACGATTGATAAAAAGATCTCAGATCGTTTTCCTAAATTCTGCAGTATTATATAAAACATGTTTAGAAAATATTTATTGAAAATCAAAACAAAAATTAGTAGCATGACAATAAATTGTTAGTAATCATAAAATCATTTGTAGTCCCAGCTTCATCACCTAAAAATAACAGCAATCATAAGCTCACTAAACATCAAAAACTAAAATTTTTAAACAATTTAAACCATTTTAAACTTAAATTCACTTAATTTTAAAATCAGATCATCAAGGCTTATCCTTGGATCTACATTAATTTTTCTATTTCATTAAATTTAAAACCTGATCATCAAGGCCTATCCTTGGATCAAAAAGAACAATTTTGTTCTCCCCCACCCACTTAGCTAGTGTCTAACGACCTCAAACGTCGATTCACTATCCAACCCTTTCAAAAAACCCAAGACTAATAGAAATTTTTGAACAAAACTAATCATTCAAATTAGGATAAACAGTGAAGAACTTCGGTTATTCATCCTTCACTTGAACCCTCCTCTTACCAGACCCAGGATAAATCTTAGACTTAGTAAGTTTAAAATAGTATCTAACGAACTACTCGCGTTCTAATTATACCTGAACCTTGTGGATCGATTTACTATTCTCCAACCCTTGAACACAATCACTACCCCTAAGTAAGATTAAGTAAGTTAACACCTTAGCTTATACTAGCCACGAGAAAATAAAAAATCATTCTTCGGAATCGATATACTTTGCTCTCCAACCCTGAACAAATAGACCCAGGTTAAGCTAACCAAAAAATCGTGAGGACTAACAGTTTAAGAAAATAGAAATCATCTAACAACTTTTTGCATCCATCATCCTAAACCTTATGCCATTTAAAAATCTAGGAAACAAACAAACAATCGTTTTACACAACTGTGAAATAGATAACAAAAAATACGACCTTGTAATTACACCTCATACACAAACAGTTGGATATATTAGAACAAAACGACAAACACTAAAAAGGAAAATAATAACCAAACAAAGACAAATCACACGAAAAAGATTTTCAAAAAATAGAAACGCATTTTCAGAATCAAAAGCCAGCAATTTAGACGAACTTTATAAATTAAAAGAATCTATTGATAAAAATTGCCCCATTCACGATCAATTATATTGTTCCGACTCAGAAACAACTTCAAATTCATCAAAAAGAGGAAAAAGAAGAATAAAAAAGCAATGTAAACACAAACCAGTACACTTGTATAATTGGAATCAACCAATTAGACACATCGATAATTACCTATTAACAGTCATTAAACGAAAAAATGAGCCAAACCCACACTCCAAGTGAAGATAGTCCAGATGACGACGACATCTCCCCTTTCCTCGTAGATGCACCTGATAATAGAGGACAACACGATCTTTGCAAGAATTTACTCCTAAATTTGTTTGAACCTGGAATCAGCCCATGCAAAGCAGAGTTCCCAGATGTAAAAATCAAAAGACAAATTATTGATCACTATCTGAAAGATATATGTAATTTAACACAACAATACGGAATCTACACCATAGAATTCAGTACACCAAACCCGAATCACCGCAAATATGTAATTCAAACAGACGATCTTGACCTAGAATTTTCAAAAGTATTCTTAGAATATATAAAAAGCATACAATATCATAACTCACAAAGAGCAAACTCCATATTTACTAATGAAGTTTTTGCCATAATATATAGTTATATTTCAATATTAGAAAACGAAACCCCAATCCCAAATGTCTCACCGACAGAGACATCCAAACATATAAAGGTAGGACATGAAATCACACTATTTTCAACTTTCCTACATATAATTAAAGAAAATTTCACTAAAGATGAAGTTTCACAACATACAAAACATGACTTACAAAAAAGTTTGGCATGGTTTATAATAGATTATTTCACACATAATATAGATTTAGTTTCGCAAGCAAGAAAAAATTTCAGACCTCAAAATTCAAACGATGATACCGCCATCACAGAACAGTCAGACTACGTTTGGAACCCCGAATGGTCTCATTATGCATTCATAAATATCCCACAATCAATATCAAGTCAAGCAATAAGTACAATATCTTATATAAGAGATTATGTAAGAGTAATACCATTAACCATTGATGCAACACCATTAAACTACAATACATTTTTACCTGATACGCGAAATAACAGTTTAAATTCGACCGTCATACACAATGAAAACCTTAATGGAACTAGGAATCTTACTCAACAAGATATCCAGACACCATCACACTTCATAAATGAAGAAATCGTCCAAACAACATTAACTACACAACAAAGTATTTCACCGATACGTCCAAATTTAACAACACCAAGAAATACAAACACTTCACTGGCACAAAAAAACCTTACAATCAACCGTTAAACCTTCGGTTGCTCCAAAATATTCACAAATGGATTATCAAACATATAGACCCATGACAGTACCGTCAAAAACACGCAGAACGTTCACAAGAAACACTTTTGCGGAACACAATTATAATTACGCACATTCATCAAAAACAAACTATCCCTCACGAAAAAACAATAATAATCAGATAAGATCTCGATATTGGGATAACCCAATGACAACAACCAACTCAGTAAATTTTCAAACTAATTCACATCCTCCACAGGATCGTAGTGAAAATTACCCATTCTTTCAACAAAATAAAAATAAAAAGCAAGCACCTCATCATACGGATTATCTATCCTCTGATGATGATTATTTACAACCAGATACATTTGCACCATAAACTCTAGAATATCGTGGACAAGGAGTGCAAAAACCACATACATATCATAGAATTTTTTCTCCACATCCAACAGATACACAAAATCAACAAACAATACAAATGCAAAACCCAATTAATACACAATCTTTTCAACCAATTCAGCCACAAAACCCAATGATTACACACTCGTATCAACCAACACAAATGCAAAATGAAATACCACTCCCATATTACCTTCAACAACACGAAATAACAAAAAATCAACTCTCAAACTTTTCACAAATGCCAAATGCCGCAGAATCCCTACAAATGACAATGAATCTATACCTTATGGGTGGATCATCAATAACATCAAACAAACCATTAATGGTATTCACAGGAACAGACCCTGAATATTCTGTAGAAGATTATTTAAATGCAGTAACAGCAAATTTAATTTTAAATATAGGACCTGAACCAATTAATACACCACTACATCAAAATTGGATACATCGACGCACAGCGTTGATACAAACAACCTTAGATGGCGCAGCCCAAAAATGGTTTTCAGTATTGCCTATAGAAATAAAATCAAATTGGAAAAGATTTACACAAGAATTTTCAAAAATGTTTGACTCCGAGAGAAATAAACAACAACAAAGAGTTTTATGTAATGAAATTCGCAGATTACCAAATGAAACCATCAAACAATTAGCAGTACGTATCGAAACACTAGTTCGAAAAGCATATTCATTAAATACACATGACTATAAAAACACAAAAATGACAGAAATCTTAATGATGACCTTAACACCTCAATTAAGGAAAATAGCAATAAAAAAGAGAGCATCCCATCCTTCCTCAATTCGAGAGCCCGATCTAGATTTT